GCACCTGGTACAGAGTCCATTGTCTGCATGATCATTTCCAAAGTTGAACCGTGGACGTGGTACATTCTCAGACGTTTCGCCGGCATCATAGTCGGCATCGTCAGTGAGTCTCGACATTCGTAGCACCATATTATAACTCTTGTCCCTTTGACGAGTTGTAATATGGTGCTATGAATGGCGAGACTCACTGACGATGCCGGCGAAACGTCTTGGAATGTACCACGTCCACCGTCCTACTTTGTTAATAATCATGCATACAATGGAGTCCGGAGTAGGTGCGTTTTTCTAAGTCTTCCTACTAATATGACCAAGTTGCGAAAACAAGGTCAAACGTTTTCTATAATTCTTATTTTTCATCTGTAAGTAGGTTTTCAAGGCTAACAGTAAATCATTTTTACAGGTTGTGTTTACTTTATTTAGCTTAAGATTATGAATGACTGGTAGTTGAATTTCCCCACACTCATATGAATGGACCTCACGTTTCCATTGAATTTCACATAGTCTTCTTTCCCAAAAGGTTTTCTCATCAAATGTGGACTGCGAAGTCGAAACTGCATTTCTTTTGGGAAAGAAGACTATGCGCAATTCAATGGAAACGTAAAGTCTACGCATATGATTGTGGTAAAATTCAACTGCCAGTCATTTGTAGCCTTAACCGAAACAGGGTGACACATCTCCTATAATCCTTATGACTGTCTATCTTCTTTCTTATTCATGACGACCAGCTGAATCCCGGAAAATCAGCGCTGTTGGGAAACTAGAAGCCCACTTGGTCTTGGTAACAGTTTCTTCCGGACTACTCTATTTGTGTATATGACGTCAAATATGTTGTTGACCCGGCCAGTCTTATAACTCCTACTTAGAGTGATAAAGGAAGGCAATGATCGACTACTCTCTTTGAGCGTTGCCAACAGCTGCTGAAGCGGACTTTCGTCTTTGCCGACCTACCTCTCGTAATCTTTGGTATTGATTTACTCAGAGGCCATCGGTTTTGCTTCGATCCAGTCAACAACCGATTTATACACCCAATGTCTAATTCTTGAATCTACTCTGAGCCAGCAGCTGCACAGCTCTCCTAGCAGTAGAGACAATTCTGTGTTGACAGAGCTTCCTAAAAAGTTTCCTTTATTGACCGAACTCATATCCGCCCTGGTACAGGCCAACCGCACAGTCACAGTATACAGGCCATCTCTCCGTCGGCCACGACAACTTGCTACAATCAAGTGTTGGTTCGACCTTGTTTCTGCAACTCGGTCGGAGCGTCAGGAAGACTTTGTGGAACGCATCTAGTCCTGCCTCTTCTGCCATAATATTTGTGACTTCCATCATTGGACCATTTACTTGGTACATTTCCAGACGCTTCGCCGGTAGCATCGTTGAGAGGTGCCGTCGTTAGCACAGAGTTACAACTTATGAGAGTGA